AGCCCAAGCCTCAGCCCTTTTTATGTTTCATTTATTTATTTATTTGTGTTGGGGGGGTACTACCAGGGATTTTTTTTTTGTTTTATTTCGAGACAGGGTCTCCCTAAGTTGCTGAGCTGGCCTTGAATTCGCAATCCTCCTCTCACTTTTCTGATTTGCTGATATTATAGGTGTGTATCACTGCACCGAGCTAGATCTTTTAACTAAATTTGTTATTCTGTCTTTTGGCAATTCAAAAAATTTCATTTTTAGCAAGATGAAAAGATTCTGGAGATTAGTTGCACAATGATGGATGTGAATATCCTTAACAGTACTCAACTGTGCACTTAGAAATGGTTAAGATGGTACATTTTATGTGTGTTCAAAAGAAAACTACCCTGAAACTTAGTGGCTTGGAATAGCAACGATTATTTTATTATCCCTCACAGTACCTGTGGGCCAGAAATTCAGGAAGGGCTCAGCTGGCTGGTTCTGGCATAGGACATCTCATGGGGTTACAGAACACATGTCTAGAAAATAAATTGTGGATGGTTGAAGAACTTGGGGGCTGGGTAGGCATCTGTCTGTGTTTAGGCTGGCTTCTCCCTTCACCATGGCCGCGGGGCAATTGGACTGCTTCTCTGGCAACTCAGGGTCAAACTCAAGTGTTTCCACAGCAGGTGGAAGTGAATTTCCGCTTTGATGACTGAGCTCAGAATTTAAGTAATGTCTCTCTGTCATGTTCTTTTGGTAAAAATTGTCATCAAAGGCCTGTAATCCCATCCACTAGAGAGGCCAAGGCAGGAGGATTGTAAATCTGAGGTCAGCCTCAGCATTTAGCAAGACCCTTTCTCAAATTAAAAAAATTAAAAGGGCTAAGGATGTGGTTCAATGGTAAAGTGCTCGTGCTCCTAGGTTGAATCCCCAGTACCAAGAAAAAAAAAAATAAGCCAATGAATACTTGCCAGAGGGGTATGAGCCTTCTAAGAAGGGGATCAGTCATCCCAAATCAAAGGATAAACTCAGCCCCAGATGACACTTGACTAAATCCTCATGAGAGATCCTAAACCAGAACTGCCCAGCCAGGCTGCTCCTGAACTCCTGATCTACAGAAACCATAAGACATAATAAATGTTTGTTTATTTTATTTGTTTGGGTACCAGGGATGGAACCCAGGAGTCTTGATCACTAAGTCACATCCCCAGCCCTTTTTATTTTTATTTTGAGACAGGATCTCATTAAATTGCTTAGGGTGTCCTCAAATGACAGAGGCGCTGTACCACTGAGCCACATCCCCAGCTGGATTTTATATTTTATTTAGAGATAGGGTCTTACTGAGTGGCTCCTAGTGCCTCGCCTTTGTTGAGGCTGGCTTTAAACTAGTGATCCTGATCCTCCCATTTCAGCCTCCCTAGCTGCTGGGATTAAAGGCCCGTGCCACTAAATGGCCCCAATAAATGTTTATTTTTTAAAGTCCTTACTTTGGGGGCTGGGCATGTGGCTCAAGCGGTAGTGCACTCGCCTGGCATGCGTGAGGCCCAGGTTCGATCCTCAGCACCACATACCAACAAAGATGTTGTGTCCACCGAGAACTAAAAAATAAATATTAAAAATTCTCTCTCTCTCTCT